CCAAATTTATACTTGTTGGGGCTACTGAGCCAGCAAAAGCACAGAAGCTCGCTTCATTCTCTCTGGTCTAGCTGCAATCCAGCCTCTACTAAGGGTTTTAGTGCTTAACTGTTCATTAAGAAGGTAAGAGTTGCAATAATGGGCTGGGTGTTACTGGGAAAAAAGAAAGATTCATTCACTCCACCCTTTTTAGTTTTTTAGTAATTTAATTGAGCATTAAAAGATTTTATTTTTAAACGACTCACATGACAAGGAGAGGGGAAAGCAAGTCAAAACGAAGACCCTAATAGATTCAAGGAAATGATTTGGCCCTGTTTCTGCAGCATTCATACCTGGTTGTTTTCAAAACCCCAAAGATTACCCTAAAGAGGAGGTGAGTTGTCAGCTGAACAAAAAGATTCTTAGCTGCAAAATAATGATCTTTTGGAGGAAAATAGAATGAAAGAAAAGGATACAAGGGAGGGAGGAAGTACAAAAGTGACTTGTTTTCTCCTCTCTGGGAACTTTTGAGAAAGAGCCCTTATTTTAAAGCCAAAGCTAACTTTTCCATGCAAGAGAGGCAACGAAGCCAAGTTCTATGTCAGCTTTGCAGAAATTATTGTGCTGCAAGAAGCCCCCCCACTAAAGAAAAAGAGCCAGTATTAGGACTGATAATAAAAATCGTAGCTAATAATTAATATCAATCAAGGGTCAGGCACTGTGCTAAGATATTTATCTAATTTAATTCTCACTTTATGAGCAAGTGATATTGATATACTCATTTTAAAGGTGAGAAAACTGATGTTCAGAGATGTTCATTTGTCCAAGGTCATTCCGCTGGTAAGTAGGAAGAGCAAGGAAGTAGGAAGAGCTCATTCCTATCTGTCTCTCTATTGAGCCTTGCTCCCTCTAGAAAACCATGGAGGGCCTGGCGAGGTGGCTCACACCTGTAATCCCAGCACTCTGGGAGGCCGAGGTGGGTGGCTGCTTAAGCTCAGGTGTTCAGAGACCAACCTGAACAAGAGTGAGACCCCATCTGTAAAAAATAGATGGGCATTGTGCTGGGCACCTGTAGCCCCAGCTACTTGGGAGGCTGAGGCAAGAGAATCACTTGAGCCCAAGGATATGAGGTGGCTGTGATGAGGCTGCTGTGAGCTATGACACCATGGCACTCTACCCAGAGTGACAAAGTGAGAGTCTGTCTCATAAAAACAAAAACAAAAAAAAACATGGAGACAAGACAGAAAACCATGACCACGCTTTCTTGGGGCTTTTCAACAATGGGAGGGACTTGATAGAAAAAAGCACAAGAATAGAAAGACATTTATAATCAGCCCAAGTTATAAATGCCGGTTGCCCAGTGCATGACAGAGGCTCATGTTTGAGCCAATCTCAGAATCTGCCCAGGGGACCAGAGCCTTCCAAACCCAGATGCTACTGACCTCCCCTCTGCCCACAGCTTGTTACTCTCTGCCACTTCTCAGCTCCTTGTCATAGGCAGAATCCTATGGTGGTCCAGGTACTCCAGCAGCCAAAAGGGCACCAGGGAATCCTGTATCTGCCTTAGCCATGGTCACATTAGGCCTGGGCAGGATAGAAGGACAGTTGACCCAGCTCAGAAAGCAAGGCAAATTTACCACTCTTCATACCCAGTACTGTCACTGGAGTTGTCTCAAAGGGAAAAAGCCATGATGTCACCATGGGATCCATTTCAGGGAACTGGATGACATTTAGGGAGAAACCAGAAAAGGCAGTGATGTTTCTGGGAGTCAACACCCAGACACAAGGGACAGCAAGGGAAAGCCCTGCTAGGAAGCAGCCATGGGACTTTCACTTCAGTACCACGACCCTGGACACCACTCCCCTGCTCTGGTCAATTTGTCTGGTCAGGGCCTCGGCTAACTGTCCCTTTGTGCAGATACTTGTGTGAGCTCAAGTCTTCAAGTGAAGATTTTTCCTCTATTTGGAGTTTGCTTTCTGTCCTTGAAACTCATAAACTCATCCCTGAGGTCCTGGGAGCACCGAGAGCACTGTTTGGATAGTCTGCCCACTCAGAAAACTGAAAGAAGGGAAGGCAACTTGCTCTGGCCACAAGGAAGATCCCTGGCAGGAGGGTAAGGCAGTGGACTAAGTTTGACGGATCTTTCATGGATGACATTTTACCACTACACAAATTACTCTCCACACGGCTGCACACCTAACGGACTCCCTGCCAGAGCACTGCAGGGATGCCTCTTGTTTTTAGGGGAACCTGGCCTGGGCTGGAGGCTGGCAAGTGAGGGATGAGCTAAGCCTTTCCTTGACAACTCAGGTCTCTAAAGTGCATGAGCAGCCCACTGGGGGATGAACTTGGCCCTTGTACCAGACAGAACCAGTGGAGGAGGTGGTGGGAAAGGGCCTTCACTGAGGGGAAATTTGTGAGTCAAGGCACCAGATCTTTTACTGAGAATAACCCTGTGTTATGGTCCCCCTAGTCCCCCAACGGAGCCTAGCCAGCAATGCCACTTAGCTGGTCTCTCACTGTCCCTCATAAGAAAAAAGTACAAAATCCTACTCAAGTCTAGCTTCTACCAAATAGGACCTATCAGATAGGATCCACTGTTTGGAATGTTATTCTTATGTCACAGTTTTAGAACTTAAAACTACAACATCCACTATTGTCTGCTCCTTTTTTTTTTTTTTCTTTTAAGGGAGGCAATGAGCCCGGTAGCTTGTGCCTATGATCCTAGCACTCTGAGAGGCTGTGGATTGCTTGAGCTCAGGAGTTTGAGACCACTGTGAACAATAAGGACACCCTGTCTCTAAAAATAGCCAGGCATTGTGATGGGCGCCTGTATGTCCAGCTACTTGGGAGGCTGAGGCAAGAGAATCACTTGAGCCCAAGAGTTTGAGGTTGCTGTGAGTTAAGACACCATGGCACTTTACCCAGGGCACAAAGTGAGACTCTGTCTCAAAGAAAAAAAAAGAAAAAGAAAAACAAATAAAGGGAGGCAATGAAAGGAGATGAAGAGTAGCAAAGGCAGAAAGTCTTTGCCTTTGGGTGGGAGGTACAAAGATGGTACAAAGGCGAAACCAGATTCATACAGCATGTTGATCTCCCAGGAAGCTGGAGGAGTTTGGGGAGTTGGGGAGGTATCCTCTGGCCCAGGTCTCTCAGAACAAGATTCCATCTTCACCACAGAAAGCAGTCTGCAAAGGGCAGAGGTGACTTGGCAAACCTGAAGAGGAAGGCCTTGTTCTTGTGGCTCCTGGTCGAGAGCCAGGTTCTTGGGGCTCAGGGTCTGTCAGGAGTGGAGTCTGGGAGCCCTGTGGAGTTCCAGGCATGTAAGATAATATTTTAAGTGCTCACTTTTCCCTGAGCGCTCTCTGAACGCTGCAGCTATTAAAGATAAACCTCAACCCCCTAGAGGCCAGTGAGCTCTGAAGTCCAAGGCACAGCTGGCCTCTGGAAGCTGGAAGAGAGAGCTCCGTGGGGGCCACTGGCAGCGAGGGCTTGGGCAGGCGGTGTGGGGTGTGTCCATGAAGCAATGGCTGAACATTGTACAATCTAGTCATTTGGAGATAATTAAACTAACACCTAACTGCAGAGGTAAAAAGGACACAGAATTGAAGAGGTGCGGGGGGGGGGCGAGGAAGGAGATTACCCACAGCTTCTGGTGGGGGGCAGTTCAAGGCCTTAGGGATTGGCAAAGACCCTGCCTCTCATCATCCCTCAGCCCTGCTGTTCCCTCCCCCAGCCACACCCCTTAAGCAGTACCCACATTCTGGATGGGTTTGCTTCCAGCAGCAGGGGCTGCAGGGTGTCAAAGGTAGGTTTGGACCCTATTTTCTCTGCAGGCATTTGCAGCTGGCGCTATGCCAAAGAAGAAGCTTTGTATCATAAATACCCGTCTAGGTTTGTTTGCTTATTTATTTATTTATTATTTTCCTTCCTCCTTCCCTCAGGAAATAAAAGCAGGTTGTTTCTCTTGCCCCTACCTCCCCTCGTTAGAGATCTGGGAAACAGGAGCTGAAAGGGCTTCTTGGATTACCTCAGGCAGATCTTCACCCCGGCATATCAATGCCTGTGCCTATTGTCCTGGCTACTGCCCCTTCAGAGACAGAACCCAAAACCAGTTATTGGGGTCAGAGGAGCCTGTGAGGTGGTTCACAGAGCAGCCACTAGGGTCGTGCAGAATAGGCAGAGCCCCGGCTCCTGGAGGCGGAGGATGGGGATGGGCTCCTGGGCTCCCTTCCCTGCCGGCAGGGATGTGGGTGCAAGGAAGGAAGAGGGCAGGAGAGCTACAGGTGCGGGACAGACCCGCTCCGGAGAGATGGGGGCTGGGCTTGGAGAGGGCTGCACCGCCACGGGGGAGCTTCGTCTTGGGGGCAAAGCGCTCTCGAATGGGCTCGGTTAGCCCGCCCGGGAAACTTCCGGGGCCGGAGAACTGCAACTGAACATAGATGGGAACAGGGACAGGGGCCTTGAAGAGGCAGGGAAGGAACTGGTTTCTTCCACTTGGTGCGCAAAAACCAGGATTCAATCCTATGCCGGGTCTCTCCTGCCTCCATTCCATGGTCCTTAAAGGGCCCCCGGGTTGTATGGCTCGCGGAGCAGACGGGGGGATAGGAGAGCCCCCTAGACACGCACAGCAGACATAACCATCCCGCCAGTCCTCCTTCCCTCAGAGCCCGATTCAGCCAGCGATCAGCCCCAGCCTCCCCTTTGCGCGCCTCTGCTCACAGCGGTGGCGCCGCAGGACTCTGGGTCTCTCCTGCTACTCCATCTGGGATCCCGCAAAGGCGCTTACTCAAGCAGACCGCAAGAGGAGGCAGAAGTTGAAAATACCTGGACAGAAATACCTGCCCGTCCCAAAAGGCGAGGAACTAGATGCCCAGGGGCCCGGGGCGAAGGGGAAGAGGGGCGGGAGAGCTGAGGGAACTCCGCACCCGCCGCACCGCGCGGCCAGCGGCGACCTCGCGCGCCCCAGCGCGGCCTCACCACGGTGCCCGGGGCGCAGGGGGGCGCCGGCGGGACTTACCCCAGAGCAGAGTGAGCGGCTTGGCTTTGGGGATGAGCACCAGGGAGTACACGGCCCCCAAGTGGAGCAGGCTCATCAGGACGACATTCCTCCAGACGATGTTCTGCCTCTGCCCGCGCGTGCCCGGCCTCTGCTGGCCGCCGCCGCCCTCCGAGCTGTCGAGCCCGGCGCGGATTTCCTCCTTGGCGTCGCAGAAGGGGACCTTCCCCGCGCCGGCAGCCGGGCCTGGCATGGCTGGGAGAGGTGGGCGCCGGCGGCGGCAGGCAGGCGCTCGGCCGGGGGAGGGGGTCTTTGCCTTTTGGGGGGATTCTCCGCGCCTCCCGTCCCCTCCTTTCCAGCCCTTCTCTCTTCGGGCGATCAGCGACGCCTAAGGCAAATCTTGGCGGCCGGCATCTGTTGCTGGCGTCTCACCCATGCCACTGCCAGGGTTCAACTCCGCGGCGAGAAAGAGGAGGCGAGAGCGAGCGGCGGGAGGGGCGCAGAGGCGCCGGGAGCGGGCGGAGCGGGCGGCGCAGGAGGGAGCCAGAGCCGCGGGGAGGAAAGCCCTGCATAGCTACAGCCAATCAGGGGCGCCTGCGGGCTCTTAAAGCGAAAGGCGCCCCTCGGCCTCCGCTGCTGCGCGGGAGTTGGAGGCCGAGTGGGATGTGGCTCCCGGGACAGGGAGCCCACAGAGTGGCTCACAGCACTGCTGTGTGTGTCTGCGTGCAGGCGCGCGCTAGTCCCCCCCAAATATTTTCAGACTATCCCTTATGAGAAGGTTTTTTTTTTCCCTTTCTCAAGCCACAGGCCCCCTGGGTTGGAGAATTTTAAATGCTTGCCTGGCGTCGCAACACAAGTTAAGGCCAGATCCGCGGTGAGAATCAGAAGTCTGGTGTCTGCCAGGTTGCGGGCTCTTTTGATCAGTGGAGAGATGAAGGCGGCTGCTCAGCTCATAATTAGGCCGCTGTGATGACCCAGGCACACAGTAGGTGCTGTTAGCTGATACATAGACGATTTGGGCCAATTAGTGGCCATCAGTGCCCCGCCCGGCGCAGCTCTGTGCTAAATTCTTGATAACTGGCACACGACTCCTCGGCCCTCAGTGATAAAACAATACCTTAACCAAAAAACAAAAACCAATACCTTAAAGCCCGCACATGAAGAACTGGGCTTTAGAAAAAATCACCTAAAACATTCTAAAGAGAATTAACTTGTGAAAAATTTGTGTCTGCCTATTTCTTGCCTCCTAAAGCTGCTGATTTAAGAGCTCTCCAGGGAGGAAGTCTCCCGAGCAGGTGTGCTGCACCACCTGCAGGCAGGCAGCAGAAGGAAAAGGGCTCGGGACTGGAAGCCAGGGGCTCTGAGTTCTAGAGTCAACTTGCTGCAACTCGGCTTAGCTCTCTAGGCGCAGATTCCTAATCTGAACAGCAGAGTTAGTCTGTACTCTCCCTTCCACCTTGCAAATTCTATGAAGTGAGTTTGAAGGGATGCCATTATGGTAACCAAAAAAGTGAATTTTTGGATTAACCATTGATAGGAGACCTGCTCATAATTCCAGAAGGAAGGAAAAAAAATCAGAACTGCATGAAAGGACCATACATGACAACTTACTGTTGGCAGACCTGAGCCTGACCAATCACTAGATCAAACAATCTTTAACTTAAAACCTGAGCAAGGGCTTGGCGCCAGCCACATTCACTGATGGCGGTGAATTCAAACTGGCCTGGGCCAACCAAACAACTGCAACAAAAAAAAAGCTGGGCGTTGTGGCCAGGTGCTTGTAGTCCCAGCTACTTGGGAGGCTGAGGCAAGAGAATTGCTTAAGCCAAAGAGTTGGAGGTTGCTGTGAGCTGTGACACTACCCCACTCTACCAAGGGCAATATAGTTGAGGCTCTTGTCTCAAAACAAAAAAAAACTGAAGCAAGGTGTATGGCTTGTGGCACTGCTTCAGGTAGAGTTGAAATTACAGAACCACAGGAAATTTGCCGAGAGACCAGTGAGACAGCAGAATGTGAAACCAGAGGGCGTGAATTTCTTCAGTCTGCTCAACCTGTGCTCTGTAATGAGCCACATTCTCTTCTCACGCTCTCTGGGGCTATTACAGATGGTCGGGGCCAAAAGCCTCTCTCTGGGTTAATTGTAAAGACACACTCTACCCTCATTCTAACTGTTCCATCATTTGTTTAGCATTTATTGGCCACCTGCTATGTGCCAGGCCCAGTGGGCACTGGGGATACAAGGGTAAGGTCTCCTGGTCCCTGCTCTAAAGGGGTGTCCATCTAAGAGTAAAGGCTGATCAGACAAATCTCACTGCTTGGCTATGACCTAGGAAAGGCAGGAAATTTCAGTCCATTAGCAGAAAAAAAATATTTTTATTAGGCATAAACATTCATACAAGGAGTCCAGGGAAAGCAGCAAAATAGTTCTGCACTTGCCCTCCTGAGCCCCTTCTCTGTGAGATAAGCTGCTCTATCCTGACTCTATCTTAAATGAACATCTTCCTCTCCTCCCTCCAGTGGGTCAGACTGCATGGGGCCAGTCAGCTGGCTGTCCTCATGATGGAGAGGATGCTTTTGTGTGTTGAAGGAGGACAGAAGTGCTCTTTAAGTTTTTCAGATCATCCTGCCTGTGAAAAGATGACTGAAGAAAAATGGTCTCTCCAGCTCCAGCCTCAGAGTTAAACCTCTACAAAATGCAAAAGATACACTTGCTAATCATGACTATTCCCTATGGCATATGTCACCATCAGGATCAATGTCTCTTTTCTTCATAGATCTTTTCTATTTATTATTTATTTTTGAGACAGAGTCTCACTTTGTCACCCTCAGTAGAGTACAAATCACAGCTCACAGCAACCTCAAACTCTTGGGTTCAAGTGATCCTCTTGCCTCAGCCTCCAGAGTAGGTTGGCTAGTTTTTCTATTTTTAGTAGTCTTGCTTTTGCTCCGAAGAGACTTAAACCTGGTCTCTGGTTAAAATAAAACTTATAAAACATCTGTGCATTGAAGAACACAATCAACAGAGTCAAAGGGCAACTTATAAAATGGAAGAAAATATGTGTAAACCATATATCTGATGAGAGGTGAATATCCAGAATATGTAAAGAACTCGTACAACTCAATAACAAGAAGAAAAACGTTATTTAAAAATAGCAAAGGACTTGAACAAACATTTGTCCAAAGAGGGTATACACCACCAATAAGTGACTTAAACCTGGTTCAAACTCCTGAGGTTAGGGAATCCACCTGCTGGGCTTCCCACATGTGCTAGGATTATAGATGTGAGCCACTGGGCCTGGCCTACAAACTGACACTGTATATACCTATTAAACGCCCCATTTCAACCTCCCTCCAGCCTCCGGCAGGCACCGTGCTACTTTGTTTCAATGAGTTTGACTATTCATTAGATACCTCATTTATGTGCAATCAAACAGGATTTGTCTTTTTGTGACTGGCTTATTTCACTTAGTGTAACATTTTCAAGGCTCATGCAGGGTATAGCCTGTGTTCGAATTTCCTTCCTTTTAAAGGCTGAATACTGTTCCATTATATGTATATGCATTTTAAAAATTTTATTTATCCATTAATTAGTTGACGGACACTTGGGTTGCTTCCACCTTTTGGCTACTGTGAATAATGCTGCTATGAACATGGGTGTACAAATGTCTCTTTGAGATCCTGCTTTCAATTATTTTGGATATATTTATGGAGAAGTGGCATTGCTATTTCTTATGGTATTTCTATGTTAAACTGTTTGAGGAGCTGCCGTTCTGTTTTCTCTAGTGGCTGTACCATTTCACATTTCCACTAACAGCGTGGAAGAGTTTCAATTTCTGCACATTCTCACAACTGCTTATTATCTGTTTTTTAGATGATGCCATCCTAATGAATATGGAGTGATATCTCATTATAGTTTTGATTGCATTCTCTTAATTATTGGTGATATTGAGCATCTTTTCATGTGCTTATTGGGGTATATACCCTCTTTGGACAAATGTTTGTTCAAGTCCTTTGCTATTTTTAAATCACATTTTTCTTGTTGTTATTGAGTTGTATGAGTTCTTTACATATTCTGGATATTCACCTCTCATCAGATATATGGTTTACACATATATCTGTGCATTGATTGTGTTCTTCGATGCACAGATGTTTTACACTTAGTCCAATTTATCTATTTTTACTTTCATTGTCTACTCTTTGGGTGTCATGTCTAAGAAATCATTGCCAAATCCAAAGTCATGAAGCTTATCTTCTGTTTTCTTCTTTTTTTTGGCCAAGTTTGAACCCATCACCTCTGGTATATGGGGCCAGCGCCCTACTCCTTGAGCCACAGGCACCACCCATTGTCTTCTGTTTTCTTTTAGAAGTTTTATAGTTTTAAGTCTTACATGTAGGTTTTTGATTCACTTAATTTTCGTATATTGTTTAAGGTAAACAACTGATTTCATTCTTTTCGACATAGATATCCAGTTTTCCTAGAACTATTTCTTGGAGAGATTATTCTTTCCCCACTGAATGAGCTTGGCACACTTGCTGAAGATCAGTTGATCATATATATGAGGGTTTTTTTCTGGACGCTCTATTTTATTCCATTGGTTTATATTTCTGTCTTTATGCCAGTGCCACACTGTTTTGATTACTGTAGTTTTGAAATAAGTTTTGAAATCAGGAGCTTTGTTTTTCCAAACCGTTTCTCCAGTGTTGTTTTTCTTTGTCAAGATTGTTTTGGAGGGCTGGTGTGGTGGCTCACACCTGTAATCCCAGCACTCTGGGAGGCTGAGGTGGGTGGACTGCCTGAGCAAGAGTGAGACCTTGCCTCTAAAAATAGCCAGGCCTTGTGGTGGTTCCTATAGTCCCAGTCACCAGGGAGGCTGAGGCAAGAGAATCACTTGAGCCTAAGAGCTGTGACGCTATGGCACTCTACTGAAGGTGACAAAATGAGACTCTGTCTCAAAAACAAACAAACAAAAGATTATTTTGGAGGCCAGGCACAATGGCTCATGCCTATAATCCTAGCACTCTGGGAGGCCATAGCAGGTAGATTGCCTGAGCTAGAGTGAGACCCCTGTCTCTAAAACAACTAGCAGAGCATTGTGGCAGGTACCTATAGTCCCAGCTACTTGGGAGGCTGAGGCAAGAGGATCACTTGAGCCCAAGAATTTGAGGTTGTCATGAGCTACCATATTAGGGAGTACAGTTTTAAAGTATGAGTTGTTACTGGACAAAGAAATGGCAGATGGTAATTCAGGCAGAGAAAACAGTGTGAGCAAAGTTTTTGCACTTGGCATTCAGGGATGTGTATGGAATGTCTGAAGTGAGAGTAGGGAGATATGGGGGAGGAAGCTGAAATGCCAGGCAGTGGGCAGCCCATGAGGGCAGGAGGGTGTCCTGAGTCAGGGAGGAGCTGCTGCAGGGCTTCCCACATTTGCCTTGTCATTATGGCAGGGGAATACTCTTGAAGGAGTGTCGGGGAGGGCTGGATTGTGGCAGATACACTATTCTAAGGGTCTGCTGA